AACTGCGGGGAACTCTGCAAAAAACGCATCTTCGCACGGGCAGCCCGTGCGTTGGCCAATTTTCAGTTACTTGCACTGTCGACTGCGCTATATATTGCGTCGGTAAAACTATTTTCGCACAGCAGAGTTCTTCAGAATCGAAAGCACGACGCGACAGATGCTGCAACCATGCCGTTCTGAAATGTTAAAAGAGCGGCTGAATTGCAGCCAGATGTGATGCGGGCGATATATCATTTGTTTAAGTGTTCTTTTTCTGGCTACCTATAATATGTCTTAGAAGTGGAACTTATTCTGATACTGCTCTTTTCTGTTTTGTCTGACAGTCTAATTGTTTATAGGGAGCAACCAGTACTCGTTACAAAGACTGACGATTGTGGCGATTTTGACGGACAAATAACTGTGAATGGTGCTAGTGATAAAAAAAGTTTGAAACCGAGTTTGATTAAACAATTTTTTTCCGCTTGAGTGATTATGTTTACGGTAAATTGGATTGCTTACATGATGAATTATTAGCTGTTTTGTATGAACTGCGAAGCCTATTCATCACTCCATTTTGCGTGTTAAACGAAAAACAGCTCGATTTATTTCGTTACGAAATTTATGTTCATAACGATCTACTTATAACATCGTTATTGAGAAAAGCATGCCATTTTTGAGAAATTAGACACAAATGCTGATAGTTCATGAGTGCAAACGATCATCAGCAACACTCTTGTTGTATGTGTTTGTTCAATTTTTTTCAAAAAAAATAAACTAAATTGACTTTGTCCGTATATATAGCAGCACTACTTATCACATAATATGTCAGGTGGATGAAATCACGCGAGAATCGCATTCTGCGCAGATGACAAACGGTTCATTTCTTCGACAACAGTTGCATGTCTGTTACGAGATTCTTTTTCAAAAAAAAAAAAAACTGCCAAATTCATAGCATTCCAGGAACGATGTGCACTGCTCCACAAACCAACATCCCATTTTGCAATTGCTCTTTGGTGGGGGAAAATGTAAAGGAGAGGAAGAAGTCTGCGCAAAAGCTTGCCATGAATTAGAAATGTAAAAATTGTTGCAGATTTTATAAAG